AGAGCCTTCGATTTAGAAAAGTTTCTTTCAAATGGTTCATTCTGTCATTTCCTCTTTGCTGTTTTCTTTTTTATGTTCCTTTTGCCCTACCTTCCAAAGAAATTCCAGGATTCCTTTCTATTCAAACCAAAATGACCACAAAAATACTGCTGCAGGTGTTTCGTTTCGGAAAAGGTACTCCTAATTCTGTCAGCACAAAACAGTTTGTTGAGTTATAGTGTGAAGTTATAGCGTTTGTGATCGAGCTCAATTCCGAGTTAGCATGGTTTGAAAACGGTCAAGAATGCACTGGCCGGTTGTTTTACAACCGGCTTCAACGACATCCAACTTTTTGAGGGAACACTTCGTCTCTTCTATTCTACTTCTGAAAATCTAAAACTAGGGGAAGAAGCGTCTCTAATGCTAGGTAGTTATGGGAATGTATTCACACGAAATCGATCTGTTGGAAGCTGAGCATCTGAAGTTTCAGAACTCATTGTTAATGGTAGAACTAACCCTGTTATAATGAAACCGGCATGTAATGTGCATATTTTTTCTCAGTGTTTCATCTGATTCTAACCATAAGTATACTGATTTTTAGCATTTATAACTTCATTCGGTTTATCAGAAGCTTTGCACTGCCTCTTATCAGTCACCAGTCTTGCTGCGCACGCACTCGCGTGCATCGCACGGGACTGCATTTGTATGAAACACGGCCACTGATGTTTTTATAGTCCACTGTGAGAAACTCCGAATAACCTCGGCGGCGCCCACCAACAGCATCTGGCCCCATTCCTTCTCCAACCTTTATCCACTTCTCCCAGCCTCTAGGCTCTCTCTGGAATTACCTGTATTGTCACGTGAAAAATTCGGCCTACCTCAACGCACGCTCCAACCACTAACAGCAGTTCTGCCTTCCGTCGACGAACTCAATACACTCTTCCCCCGGTCTCCAGGACTTCTTGGAGCCAAGTTAGAAAGTTTCATGGATAACTCAGCCCCCTCCGGACCTGACCCGCCCATTAAAGGCAAAGGTCGGGATTAGTTGACCAAACCAACCCTTTCGGTCATGCCTATACTTAGTTACGCACCCGTAGAGATGTTCCCACACTCAAAACCCGGAACAGCGCAGTAATAAGGCCCCAGGGCATGTACTATGCGCTATCGCCGCCTGACCCCGCTACGACCGCCAACCCGCGGAAGTGGTACGTGGCTGGCATAACGTGTGAAATCAGCAAGGCAGATTGCCGTATCAACCGATTGAACGACTGTATCTTCAGAAAACTTATTTGTACGTGCCTCTTTTCCATGCCATCCTCGTTCATTGGAAGTGGGAAAGAGGATTTTGTCAACCGTTTTGTCGACGGGTTTTCCCAGTTTTTTCTTCACTGTCGTTCTACTTCGCATCGCTATACTCAGTTTCAATTGCCATAATACCACCCTATTGAGCCCGACTTTTGCCTTTAATAGCAATTAGGCTCCTTTTCCGCACCCATCTCCATCCTCTCTTTTCCCGGTCTCCAGAGCTCTTGGAGCCGAGCTACAAAGTTGCGAATAACTCCGCCCCTTCGGCGTACGCTCCACCCACCAATGGCAGCTGACCTCCCTTCCGTTGACTAACTCAATCAACTTTTTCCCGGTCTCCTAAACTTTTCGGAATTGACTTATAAATTTTGGGCAAACTCCGCTCACACCCCACCCACCGAGAGCAATTCAATTCACTTTCGTTGACAAACTTAGTTCACTTCTTTTACGGTCTCCACGACTTCCTAGAGCCGACTTACAAACTTTCGCGGATGACTCCGCCCCCTTTGGTCTTGCCCCGCCATCATTGACATTTGACCTCCACTCCTTCTCCGAGCTCTGCCCTACTTTTTCCAGCAATCTAAAACTCCTTGGAACCGAATTATGAGGACTTGTAGGAAGCGCTGTCTAGAGGACACGCTCCGCCCACTGTGGGCGGACCTCTGGTGAAGTCATGCGTGCTGTGACCACCTTACACATCGCCCCCTATACCAATTTGTTTGCTCTGTATGGTTTACCCCAACCGAATTACCAGTTTTTTTGTTAGGCACTTTTTTTTGGAGAACGCCCCGCCCACCGGGTGTGGGTTTCCAGAATTCGATCTGACTTATCAATGCACACCTTACCTACGTTTTTCCCCCGGTTTCGATGCCGTTTGGTGTAGTATGTGAAATCCCGGTCTTCAGTACCACCCAATTCGTCGCACACCACGCCCGTGGGCGGGGCTCCGCTTAGCTGATGCATGTTTTGTACTTCTCGAGACCTGGGTCACCCATCCGACTTTTGACACGGTCTCTCGGGACGGATCTCAAAAAGCTAGGGATTTTCGTGACAGACAGACACCGTGAAACACACAGACAAACATAGCGCATTATATATAGTGGGATTCTCATCCTATGCACTGTGTCATTGGCTAGCGTTAATCATCTGTGAAATTGTAAATAAATAAATAAAATGAAGTCCTCTCAGTCTCCATACTAGATTTCGTGAAGCAATATGAACTCCAGAAGCAGAAAAAAACTTAAAAGAAGCGATTACGATAAAGAGGAGCGCATCGGGAGAGCATATGCACTATACGACGCAGCTGCTTGGCTGGCAAGGAGCGAAATGTGGCAACTTCACAACGAAAGGTGCGCTGGTTGATGAGCAGGACTTCGAAAGCGCTCCACCCCCAAAAGCGATCCGCCCACAAGCTTACTTGTTGATTTATACGAGGTGTGTGACAAGTAGCGGTGCAAATGGAGCATCTTGATCAAAGCGTAAATTGGCATGGTGTCATCGAATGTGTTGTGGTAAACCCGTTCATATGTTCACCTTCTTGGCTGTTACCTGTTCATGAGCGAAAATCAACGGCCAAAAAGGGGGCCCCGTTTTACGCTCCTTTGACGAATTCATTTATTCGCCACTGGCGTATCACTGAGCACCACTACGTCATACTGAACCGTTCTTGAATTTATCGTAATCGCTGAGAATTTCCTTCTTCTTGTCAACCCATTTGCAGTTCTGTAGGTCCACTTAGTAAATCACCCTACCCATTACATAAACGATTCGAGGTTTTTACAAAGGAATACTATCTAGCACACAGATATCTTCCAAAATAGATTACCGCTTGTCAACCCATAGATCTGCCTTATAGGAGTGGATCATGTTTTCCATAGCATTTAGACCCGTGATGAATGCGGGCAAATCTTACATATTTGGCATTTGTGTCGTTTAGGATGAAAATCTGAAGGCGATCTTCACTTAGGAATGACAGTTGTTGTTCAGCAAGATCACATTTCTGACGCTCATTATCAAGTTTATCGCTCCTTTCACTATCACACGCTGTTTGCGTCTCTCTTACAAAAGAAACATCTGCGGAGTCGAACACTCTTCATGTCAGCTTAAAGGTTAGAAGGAAAGTTGGTCGTATTCACTTCCACCTCTTACTATATACTTCTTATCAGCCGTTGTCTTTCATCCACACACTATCAATGTCCAATTACAACAGCTACAGTGCGGGTCAAAAGTATTCGGCCAAATGTTTTCGGCCGTCCATATTTTGAGGGGGTCCAAAGGTAACCCTTCCCAAAAACCAGCATATCCTTGTTCAGTGGAATGAACATTGGAGAGTAAAAATCATTTTACTGAAAATTCCCTAGTAAATATCAACTTTTTTGTGAAGACATTAAAATTCAACAGAACAATCGACCGCATGAGAACAGCTTTGAGAGAAATTGATTCTTTTTTTTGATAAAACAACCGCTTAAAAAGGGCGCAAGTCCTCTACGTTGGCGAGATAGCCCTGAAAGTGGATAGTAGAACTACAGGGCAAGGTGCAGAAATAGCAGAAAGTCCTGACAGAATGTGGGCTCCGGCTGAATGTCAAGAAGACAAAGTTCCTAAGCTCTGATTAGGATACAGAGCCGATCGGGTCGGGAATGGCGGATGCATAGAAAGGATGGAGGACTATCGATACCTTAAGACCGACCTAGCTGCCGACGGAAGTGCGGATCAGGCAGAGAAGGTACGAATCAACGCGGCCTGAATGAAGTGGAAGGAATCCACTGAGATCCTTTGCGATCAAAAATGCTCCAAAACGCTCAAAGGGAAGGTGTACCGGACAGTGGTAAGGTCGGCGATACACTACGGCAGCGAATGCTAGTCCGTGTACAAGAATCACGAGAGGCAGCTTCACTCTAATGAAATGAGGATGCTGATATGGGCCCGCGGCTGGACGCGACTGCACAGAGTCAGAAACGAGGATGTCAAAGCGGACACGCAGGCTGCCCTGTCCAGCTAAGGTGAGGAAATAACGATTGCGATGGTATGGGATGGTACGTGCTAAGCAGGCCACAGGACCACCCACTAAGTAAAGCAGTTGAGTTCGGAAGCAAGGCGCAAGGCAAGCGACCGCGACGATCCCGAAAGAAGAGCTGGAGGAACGTTATCAGGAAGGACGTGAGTGAATTCACGGCAGCAGAAGACGCCCTAGACAGCGAAGTGGCGACGACTGATCGCGGACCCTGCGACTGCGCGGGACTAGCGCCAGGGAAAAGAAGAAAAAAAGAACGAACAGAAGCAGAAGACCTGAAAAATTTGACCGCGGCGAATTTCTCGCACTGGCTTCATAAATTTCGAAAAATCTATTATTATGTATAATATATATATATGTTATATGTAACAACATACATATATGCATATACATAGCTAATACATACTACATACACTATGCGTACATAGCATACTTACATACATACATAAGCATACATACATTCATCCACATACATACATTACCATATACATAACATACATAACATACATACATCACTACATACATGTAATATGTATATCTACAACAACTGGAAAAGATCAAAGCCGACATTATCGGTGTATGCGAAACTAGGAGAGCACGCGCTGTCTCAGCGAGGTGGACAAGCGGTGAAGAAATTCTGCTGGGAGAAGGAGCCACCAATGTGCCCAGAACAGGTGGAGTTGGTTTCATCATAAAAGCAAAAATGGTTCCGTACATTATTCCTTGTGATATCATATCCCCACGTGTCGCTGTTCTGAAGGTCAAACTACAAAAGTTGGGAAATCGAACGCTCAAAATGGTGCAAGTATATGCGCCCACTATCACGGCGGAGGATGACGAAATCGAACGTTTCTACGAAGAAATAGAGACGGCATTGAAGCTTAAATCGACATACACTATTGTTCAAGGCGATTTTAACGCAGTTGTCGGCTCCCGATTGGACGATACGGAATACCGCATAGGAAGGTACGGTGCGGGAGTAAGAACGACAGAGGAAACCGTTTGATCGAATTTGCGGAACAACATCAATTCTCAATAACGAACATTTTCTTCGAGAAGAAAGCGAAGCGTCTCTGGACATGGAGAAGCTCAGACGCGAGAGCTCTGAGGCAAATTGATTATGTGCTGACCGATACGCCAAGATTCTTTGCTGACGTCTCTGTTATAGGAGAAAATGTGATCGACTGTCTCCGATCATCGGCTTTTGCGTTCGGTGATCCTCTTCGATGCCAAGAAAGAACGTCGAGTTCTGCATTTGCAAAGAACACTCGTACGACAAACTTTCAATGCCGATATGTATGCTGCGATGATAGAGTCGTCAGATCTAGACATGAATACCGGAAGCAATATCGATGCCGACTATGAAGATCTAGTGGGAAAAATAACTGAGGCCGTGAAAGCATCGAGCATTGCGATAGAGCCCACAAGGCGACGACGTATATCGACAGAAAACTGCAGATGATGAAGAGGAGAGCACGCATGAAGGCTGAAGGACGAGTGCAAAATAAGGAATACCGGACACTCTGTGAAGCGATAAGGGAAAGGATCAAGTGCGACTATGAAGGCTACAGACAAATGAAACTTCGCGAAGCAGCTGAGAAAAGGGCTAGCCTGAAAGCTGTAGAAAGGGATATCCGTCTAATGCAACATATACCCTATGCTCTCAAAGACGATACAGGTGTTAGAACAACCAACCGCCCACGAATGAACGAGAAATGTGCAAAGCTCTAAAACGATTTGTACTCCTCAAAGGTGGTTGTTGCAAGAATCTACCGAAACGTTGCAGAAGAACCGATCCCAGAAGTAATGTGGGAAGAAGTGGAGAACGCAGTGAAACAAATAAAGGCTGGGAAAAGCCCTGGCTGCGACAACATTCGTCCCAAACACCTAAAAGCAGGCGGACTACACCTATTTAAAGCACTGGCAGAACGTTTCAGCAGATACTGCCATGAAAAAAGAATACCTGAAGCGTGGAAAAAATCAAGGACGATACTATTGATGAAAAAAGGCGATCCTGAGAGCTTAACTAACTACAGACCCATCACGTTGCTTTCCCAAATCTATAAGACCTTCACAAGGATAATCCTAAATCGCGTAGTCAAAGACCTGAACATAGTCATGAGCCGAGAACAAGCCGGTTTTCGAAGCGGTTACTCCAAACTCGATCATCTGCACGCTGTACGTCAGCTCATCGAAAAATGTGAAGAGTACCAGATCCCCCTATGCATGGCATTTGTAGATTACAAGAAAAATTCTGATTCGGTTGAAACAAACGCGATATTGAATGCTATGAGCAGATATGGTATTAGTTCGTCCTATGTCGACCTCTTGGAAGAGCTGCACAACGGTTGCTCTACAGAAATAAAGCTCTTCAACGATCCATGCCAAAATAAAAATCTGCAAGGGCGTTCGACAAGGTGATACGATCTCGCCGACATTGTTTGCACTAACTCTGAAAGCCTTGTTCAGTGATCTTGATTGGACGGATGCAACAGAAACTTGGCTGCTGCACAAGAAATCATTGTAAATTGGGTACTTGAAATGATACTTGTTAAAACACGTGAAACTTGCAGCAAAGTTAGTAATACAGAGGCGATCATATTGTACGACGGTGAACATTGAAGAATGAAAGTTATAAACGGTCTGCCGTCATCTGCTGTTATGGCCAGATGATGCGCTTTATTTTTGCACATAATGCTTTTGCGCTCCAACAGAAACTTGGCTGCTGCACAAGAAATCATTGTAAATTGGGTACTTGAAATGATACTTGTTAAAACACGTGAAACTTGCAGCAAAGTTAGTAATACAGAGGCGATCATATTGTACGACGGTGAACATTGAAGAATGAAAGTTATACCAAATACTAGGACACACAGCTCAGCTTCACTGAAGGCACTAAAGAGGAATACAGTAAACGCAAGAAAGCAGCATGGTCCAGTTTCAACAAAATCTCAAGGGTATTGCTAGACGATAACCTCCCGATGAAACTGAAGGCATCTTTGTTCCACTCAACGGTGATACCTGCGTTGCTACGGCGCGGAACGCTGGTCGCCCACTAAAGCAGACGAAGAGAAAGTTGCTGTGATGCAAAGATCAATGGAACGCAGAATTTGCAAAGTGTCACTTCGTGAACATATCACAAACACAGAGTTGCGAAGAAGAAGTGGCCTTGTTGATGTTGTCCAGGAAATGTATAATCGTAAACGAGATTGGGCCGGTCACGTAGCACGTCTTAAAGATGACAGATGGACTTTCAGGCTCATGAATTGGATCCCGTTGGACCACAAGCGATCGCCAAGAAGGCCCAAAACGAGATGGGCCGATCCGATGGTGAAAATGCTTGGCCAACAATGGAGAAGACATGCTCACCGGAATGAATGGTTCAAAGTCGACTTGCGCAATTGGAGAAGCTTGCGAGGACGAGTCGGATACAGGTGATACAGGTGATACATTCATACATACATAAGCTATCTACACACATACGCTCCACCAATTTCTATTCTTTTAGAGCACCAGCACTTCATCGAATATCATGAATTTCTACATTGATTGCAGCAACTTCATCATAAGGGGTTGTTTGCAGCGAATCTATGCAAATCTTCAACATTCACGATAATTCCTTGACAGTATTCATAGCTCTGCTCTGCTTTTAGCTCGCTCGTAGCTCCGCACATTTTCATAACTCTGTTCCTTACTGATATTACCTTTATTGCTCTGCTGCAGGGTTCCTATCTCGTGTTTGGTTGAGTACAGGGATGTATAACCGGCTTTTCTAAGAAACGTAACGTACGTAATATGAAATAACATACATCCTTCATAACCTTTTTGAAGTCTTCTGTATTCTTAAAATCCCATGGACTTGCTGCGTATCCATGATCGAATGCCTTAATGTATTCTACAGCTTATTATGGATAAACATGAATATGACGTACTTGCTGTGGTAATCCCTTTATTATCATGCTGATAATCATGACTATGGTCATGATAGTGCCATCACTCGTGCTATTTAGGTTGGACAGTGTACTGAAGCGAGCACGTTTCGGGAATGTCTATTGCGTGGAGGATCCGCAGTCTTCGTTTACACCGCACGCCGTGCACATTTTTGTTTGCTTAAACTATTACGAAATGATGGCAATACTGATCTATGCTTTGATGGATTCACTTTTTTATTTGAAGTCATAGGATAAACTGAGGAACTTTCGTTTCCTGCGTACAGTTACAGCCTTCCGAGGCCTTCCCCTGTCCGCTTCTCTGTCCTACCTCCTCCAGAAGCAAAGGCAACGCGATGTGGAGTGGCCGGAAGTTTGCCAAGTGAGTGTTTATATAGCAGATGGAGTGCCTCATCAAATTCATGGCATTAACTTCATTGGAATGGAACTCGAAACTGCCCTGGTCTCGTTACCGGCCACAGGGTAATTTTCCCGACAGACAGACAGGCAGGATGCGGAAGAAATATTACTCGTTTGACAAAACATCGAAGCAAGAAAAAAGAAGATGGTAACACGTATTTCATACGATGTGAAGGTGGTAAATAATGAAATCTTAGACAGCCGTCGCTCTCGTCCGAGCAACTGGCTAGCGATGGCGCAATCGCAATTGACAAACGATGGCGAAATCGCGATTGGCAAGCGATAGCGCAATCGCTTGCCAGTGCAAGCGACGGGCGATTTGCCCGCCCCCAATTGATGCATTCGAGTGCGGTATCGATTGCGGGCAGAGCCATCACTCGTCGCTTGTGCACTTTGCAAGCGATTGCGTAGTCGCTTGCAGGATTGGACGAATGAGAAAATCTTCGATTTAAACTTTTCTACGCCCACCAAAGTCAGAGGCAGTTGTTGCCGAAAAGTGAGAGAAAGCCTCCGAAATAACGTCTAGTTCACAACAAACTTTCTCCCAAAGGTGTGATAATTGCTAGCGCGGTAACATCCAAAAGTGCAGCTTCACTGAAGTTCATCTTCTACAAATGTTGAAATTAATTCGTAGACTTGAACAATATTAAGGAGGTACGGTATGATGTTCTGGATTCACGAGCATTTCGCCTGTTTGCTCTTCAGTGAAGTTGGGCTTCCCAATACGCGTTCAAATCAACCAAAGCCATCCTGGGCGCTCACTTCCCGGGCTACTGGAGCAAAGATTTGTGACATTCTTCCCCTCGGGACCTTAACCCGATAGACTCCTCTGTCCGGGGATGTTGTAGAGCAAGAACTTATGTGACTTTTCCAGTTCGGTGGGTGCTCTGAAGTTAGCGCTTCAGAAGAGGTGGGACAACATCACCGTTGGGTACCTGCGGCGCACTGCTTATTTTGTCGTTGAACGTCAGAAGGTCTCAGGTGGAGCGATCGACTCACTCAGCGAGAGATCACTCCATCGCTTGTCCGTCGTCGAGTGTGACAGCAGTCTCAAGCAGAGTCAACTCTGCGTTGCGCAGTTCGCAACGGCACGTTGAGAGATCCTCAACGCACGCTGTATGGGCGGAGACACAGACGGCTCGAGCATGCGAGTGTGAATGTTCGCGCGAGAGGACGTGTCTAATCGGGCGAAACTGCGCAACGTGGCCGTTGAGAAGTGCGCAACGCAAGGTTGACTCTGGTCTCAAGGTCTCCCCAAAGTCTAATACGGCCGAAGCACATTGATTAAGAACGTGTGGTGGAGCATCTAATAAGGTGAATTTAAAAATTCAGCCTTTTTACGAAGGTAATAGGTTGTGGTTATCTGAGTCGCCCAATGTTCTTAGAACCTTCGGAAATGTGAAACGATGTAAGTTAATTGATGATCAGGTTGAAAAGTACTGGCCGTTTGGCGAAGCACTGTTATACTTAGGAGAGCTGAGAAGACAGCCGGAATTCCACCACTGGTGGAGGCGGTCAGCAATCAAACAGCTATCTGCCTCCACCACTCGAACGGACGCCGGGGAGTTCATTGCTGCGAGATATGTATTGATGCGAAGGTCGTTTTTGACGCCACCATTGCACTGATCACACCACATATGCCTGGGCTGGATGGGAGACCTCGGTGCCACATTAAAATCCCATTTGGCTCATATACAGCCATCATATGTAGAATTGAGCTTGAGTCAAATTGTTGACTATCTTTGGCGTGCAACATACTAGTTGCTGCTACCCATGTTTTTGGCTGTGTACTCAAGCTGAAGGAAACCACATCAACGTTAGTGTACTTCAGAGAAATTCTTTGTTGTTTCATTTTCCCACACCACGGCACGAAATCCTTTTTGGTCCTTTCTTTTCCTGAAAACAATGAGGATACATATATGTAACATATATATAATTTCCCCTCCAAAGTGGACCTTATTCAATTGACTCAGGACATTTCTCATTTCGACCCGGCTTTTTTTCACTGGACCGTGGACATTTTTCATTTCGACCTGGCATTTTTTCACTGGACCGTGGGCATTTTTCATTTCGAAGCGGCTTTTTTCATTCATTTAGGACACTTTTCAAAACATTGGTGAGGTTTTTCAGATCAAACTGAACACATCTTCTAGAATGTCAAATAACATTTTTCGCTGAAATTTGACTGAAAATTGACGGATGTGCCGAGATGTTCAGAGGCATGCCCCAGGATCACATTGGTGTGGCTCTTGTACACGAATGCGAATGTATCGGTAGGAAGTGTTCCGCGAGTGAAGAAAAAAGGAAAAGAATCCATCAAAAAAGCTCAGGTTGAGGGTTCACTCATCTTCCCTAATCGGCTGTGCTAAGGGAATGAGAGACTAAGCGCGAAGAGGAGAGCATGGGCTGAGAGTGCGCTACAGATGAGAGATCGCTAGACAACAGCCTGATGAGGAAAAAAAGTCTGCAACTTGGGCAGCTAACTTTGCAATGCCCAAGCGTTCTTATCAGTCGGTTTCCGTGCACGAGAACGCCACTTTGTGACTGTCTCTATAGGGATCTATACCACAGACAAAAGAGAAGCGTTCACACAAATTTTGCCTGGTTGTGCCTTCAAATCCTGGAACAAAAACTGAAAATCTCTTATTGGAACTCTAATCTGCCCCATACACGTTTGTTTCAGCGATCCTCTTTTCTTCATCGAACCTTCTCTAGATCGTCCCGAGTATTTGAACCCATTCCTTTATGCGACCTTGTTCTTGCAATGTTTCTTTCTCAAGGGGTCAATACGCATACAATGGTGAACGAAAGCGCCAAATGTGATCAGGGGATGGCGTAAGAGGGCAGACATGCTATTTCTGCGCGAGGGTGCAGAAAAGACCGTAAATTGATAAAGTGCTACGCATGCCCCTTCAAAAATTGCGCGTGAAGCTCGATTTTCAAAAAGAGCTACGTTGCTCGTAATCCGATACTCCGATCAATTGACTTCCATAATCATGAGAAACGAGGAATACGCCGCATCTGTAAGGCCACGACGGTGCCGTAGAACCACACTGGCGCAAAAGGAGATTATCATCAAGCTACGGAAGTCGACGGCAAAACAATCCGCGAGGCTGCTGAATTTGCTGGTGTCAATGCGAGTACAGCAAGGAACATCGTCAGTGCGTACAGATGGGAAGGCGCCATTGTTCACCGTCCCTGTGGAGGCAGCCGGAGGATCAAATTGACCTCCGATGTACTACAGACTATTGAAGAAATCGTTGAACGACATCCAGAGGATAACCTGGTGCAGATGCAAAGGCGACTGAAGGAGGACGACATCAATCTAGCCGTGTCTACGATTTTCAACGCCTTGTTGAAATTGAAAATCACACTGAAGAAGAGCCATCACGAGCTCGATCGTGTAAACAGCACCACGACGATTGCAAGCCGTCAGGCCTATGCTCTCGACTTTACTGCACATGCACCACAGGACAAGGAAAAATGCATCTTCATCGATGAATTCGGATTTAACCTCCACCTAAGAAGGACACAAGCTCGCTCCAAACGAGAACGCGCGAAAACGCGCCAACGTTGTACTACCAACCGTGAGAGGCAGCATGGTGACGCTAAATATTGCCATGAATACTCAAGGCATCGTTCATTCGAAAATCATCAATGATGGCACCTGCAACAGCCCTAAGTTCTGTGCTTTTATCGAGGAGCTTCTGGCTGAGATCCACGACAGGGAGGAAATGAATGGTGCATGGCTGATCTTGGATAAGGCCAAGATTCATAAGACGGAGGAGGTGCTAAGACTCTTGGATGACACACCGTATCAGCTGAAATTTTTCTCGCCCTACTCCTATATGCTGAGCCCAGCTGAGAATGTCTTCTCAAAGGTATTACTTATTTTATTTCTTACAATTAAAAAATAAAGCTTATTATGTAGATGGTGGAGTGGATAGAGGTGAGGTAACGTGTTCAGGTGAAGGCATCGGAAAACGCCTGCTGAGCGATCCTACGGCAGAGCAAACGCTGAGCGGAGTCATTCAGGAAAGTGTAGGAACGGTGACGGAGCAGGATTGTGCGAGCTACGTCCTCCACATGATGGTAAATTTGACGACCGCGGCAGCTGGACAGCCCTTCGTTAATTTAACTTGTTGGTTTTGTTTCCCTTGTGTTCGGTTGTAGAGAAATGACCATTTGTTTCACTCGAAAATGTAATATTTTCTTGACCAAGAAGGTTTCCCGCATATTATTGTTTTTTGCGAATTGTTGTTTTGATGTGAAAAGAATTACCGACCGAAAATGAAGGTGCTTACGCTTCATTTGAGCGGTGTCTGGCTTTAAATGAAAAAATCAATCTTGAAATGAAGAATGTTTACGGTTATTTAAAAATGGTTTAAGTTGAATTGAAAACTGTCCACGGTTCATTGAAAAAAAAGCCTGGTTGCAATGAAGAACTTCCTGAGCTATTTAAAAATCTCTGGGTCGAGTTGAAAAATGTCCACGATTTTTTGAAAAACAGCAACTTTGATTTGAAGCGATGTCCATTTCAAAAGTGGAAATGGTAATCGCCTACTATAATATAAAAATGCTTATGTCTGGTCTGATATTGTGTGTGTGTGTGATGTGTGTGTGTCACGAAAATTCATCACCTCAGTAGTGCTTCGGCAGCAGTCTATCCAGAGACGCAAGACTAATTAATTATGATAATGATTAATAAAGGAGAATGGGTACGAGGAAATAAAAACATATATGAAACCCAAAGGCGGGTCGCACAAGAATAGGCAACTATGACTGAATAAAAGCAATAAGAAAGGCGACTGACAACAACAAATTTCACAGACAATTCATAAGTATGGCAATATCGCAAGCAGTCGTATCAGGAGCTGATTTTTTGATAGATATAGGAGGTGGGACGAGAACATTATATAGCTGCGGTTCAACCAAATGTATAAGACATGAAAAGAAGTAAATAAGAGACGACTGAAACACAAATTTCATACAGAAACTTCATAGTGTGCTTCGCAGCATCGTCAGGAAAGCTGATTTTGGGGCCATGATATAGGGTGGTGGGACGGGAACATATTTGGTGGTGGGTCCAACAGAGTGAAAACGACTGACAGCGACTGATTGTAACGATATGGCGTACGAAGGTAGAGAGCCTTGAAATTGAAAATAGGGAGCAGATTGCAGATAACCATCATTTCAATTCATTTCATCAGCGCTGTAATTGTAAACCTCAACACCCTTATCAGACCGCTACACCTTCTAGAGCTCTTGGGGATGAATGGGATGCTCCGAGTTAAATATTATAATGAATACTGGGGTTCCGTTCTGAGATAATTAGGCGCTAAATATACCTCGATACTCGACGCATAGGTGTTGTTTAACCATCATCACTTTAGCATGTGCACTTCGCTGCGCTTATCATACATTGAATACAGCCAGCTACTTGCAACGAGGGCAGATAGATACATTTAATTGAAGCAGCTATGATTTAGCGATGAAACCTTAAGCTCCATCGACTGTCAGTTCTATCAATGCGCGCGGTAGCGGCGGCGAGCTAAACTGGTACATATATATATATCTATATATATATATACCAGTTGGCGCCGAAGCGCAGCTGATCTCTTTCCCCCTCGCCCAACCTCTAACGCCGTTTTTCCTAATCTCTAGGACTTCTTGGAGCCGAGTTCCTGAATTTTTCGTCGCAAACTCCGCCCACTTTGGTCCAAACCCCGCTCACCGGTATAGCTGGGCTCCACTCCTCCACCCACCTCCATCCCCTTTTCCCTGCCTCCAAGACCGTCTTGGAGCCCGACATACCAATTTCGGCGGAAACTCCGCCCATTAGCGCACGCTACACCCAACCGTAGCAGTTAACTTCTCTTGTCTTTGCTGACCTATATCCACTTTTTCCCGTTCTCGTCCAGGACTTCTTGGAACCAGTTATCTGAATTTTCCTGGGTAACTCCGCCCACATGGACTCGCCTCGCGCCCACCCAATAATATTCCCCGCTATGCTACTTCAACCACCCATGCACCTTTTTTCCGGTCTCCCGGGCTTCTTGAAACCGAGTTATGAATTTTCGTGATAACTCCGCCAACTAAGGGCATTTAAGCTCCACTCCTCCACCCACCTCTACCCAACTTTTTTCCGTGCCTCCGGGACTTCTTGGAGCCGAGTTATGAGTTTCCGTCGCAAACTCCGGCCACTTTGGCCAAGCCCGCTCACCGCGTAACAGCTGGCTCTGCACTCCCTCTACCCACTTCAATCCACCTTTCCCGGCTCTTCAAGACTTCCCCGGCCCGAATAATGAGGACTAGAAAGTGCTGTACACTTCAGAAGCGCGCCCCGCCCATTCTGGGCGGGCCTCCGCCCACTCCATGTACGCAGAAACACCTTGAGACATTGCTCCCTTACAGCAATTTGTTTTCTGCTCTGTAGGCCTTCTCCCAACCGAGTTATTGAAATTTTTCATAAAAACACTTTTTTTAGAGAACGCCCTGCTCCGACCGGGAGTGGGTCTCCCTAGTTCGATGTGACTTAACCAACGGCACACTTTACCCACTTTTTGGCTCAGTTTCGAGGTCGTTTTCGTACGCTGAAATCGAGAACCATGGTCGTTCGTCGGCAGTTTCTTGCGACGCACGCCACGCCGCTCTGTGGCGGGTCTCCGCTTAGCTGATCTGTGTTTGTATTTTTCGTGAGACCTTGCCCACCCATCTTCACCACTTCGCCCGTTCCTCCAGGCTGATCCCGGAGCTAAGCGAATTTCGTGACAGACCACAAGACAGACGACAGACGACAGACGACAGGCCGACCAGACGACGACGAAGCGCTTTAAGTTAGTAGGATATATTGTATTATAAGGGGGGGGAGGGCACAAAAGAGTCACTTTGCTCGTGCGGCGACATCATCACAAGTTTCTGTCGCGAAGGATGCTGCTGTTTTTGGAGTTATACGGCAAATTATTCCTTAGATATCCCCCAAAAAAGCAAGATTTAGGCCACCTTCGCTGCGTTCGCACCTCCAGAATATGACGTCATTCTGTCATGACCTACGTCAGCTTAATGAGGCCTACAATAATCGCTCCAATTCTGAAGCGCTGCTACATAAATTCCTTCAATCGATAAGTGGTAAATTGACTTCTTAGAGACACTAGCTCTGAACTATGCAAAATGGCTTTAAACCAGCGTATCAGAGACGTCCTAATCATCTATGGTTTCTCGACGACCCGTTGAGCTCGTACCGCGAACCAATGTTTCCGTTGGGGAAATCTTCTGGTTCGTTCGTTTGGAAGGCCACTATGGCATATGTTTTTGATAGAATAGCGTCTTCAATATGCCAATTGAGCTCATCCGGTTTGGGTTTTGGCGAAGTGTAAGTAATTCTGTTTGAATGTGAGTAGAGTGACTCTTTGTTTTGCCCCCACCCCTGTTATATACAGGGGTGGCCAATACAAAGAGACACTTCAGCCTCATGGCGCACATCATCGAACTTTTCGTCACATCAGGGAGCCGTTGTTATTGAAAGTTTTATGGGCGTTTATATTCCTTAGTTGTTTCCTCCGGTAAACAGAACAAGCAAATCTATCAGCTGCCGCCTGCCGCTCAAAGAATCATGACGTCAATGGCGTCACCGTCGAGCTCCCGAGGCTTCCCGAATCGTTCCGACCTCGAAGCTGCTAATCAAATTTCCTCAGTGAACTGATCGTTGAATAGCTTCCCAGAGACATTGGCTGTGAATGTGCAAAACCGCTTTTGACCTGCGTTTCAGAGACGTCGTAATCGTATATGGTATCTCAACGACCTCGTTGAGATTGTACCGCGCACAATGCTTCCGTGATAAAATCTTCTGATGTCGTCGGTGTAGAAGGCTGTTGTGTAGCTTGTTGATAGATTATAACGTGCTCCTCAATATTCAGTTGGAGTCATTCGGTTTGGTTTCGCGACGCGTAAATAATTCCGTTTTGAATATTGAGTGAAGTGTCTCTTTTTTTTTGGCCACCCCTGTATATGTAGGGTGGCCGAAAAGTATAGGACGCCATGTTTTTGTGTGTAAAAGCCAAGGAAAAGACTCGACCAGGAAACCGACTTCGCACAGAGATAGAGTTGAGCCACTTTATCTCTTGTGCAGAAGGTGCTTCAAATTTGACGACTCTGCTTTAAGGAAGACCTTCTGACGTCCAACGACAAAATAAGCAACCGCAAGTACCCAACGGTGATGTTGTCCCACCTCTTCTGAAGCGCTAACTTCAGAGCACCCACCGAGCTGGAAAAGTCATATAAGTTTTGCTCTACAACATTCCCGGACAAAGGAGTCCATCGGGTTAAGGTCTCGAGAGGAAGAATGTCACAACTCCTTGCTCCAGTGGCCCGGGAAGTGAGCACCCAGGATGGCTTTGGTTGATTTAAACGCGTATTAGGGAGCCCAGCTTCACTGAAGAGCAAACAGTCAGTGAGCGAAATGCTCGTGAATCCGGAACATCGTACCGTACCTCCTTGATATTGTTCAAGTCTACGAGTTAATTTCAATATTTGTAGAAGATGAACTTCAGTGGAGCTGCACTTTTGGATGTTACCCCGCTAGAAACTACCACACCTTTGGGAGAAAGTTTGTTGTAAACTAGACGTTATTTCGGAGACTTTCTCTCACTTTTCGGCAACAACTGCCTCTGACTTTGGTGGTCGCAGAGAAGTTTAAATCGAAAATTTTCTCATTAGTCCAACCCTTATGAGAGATGCGGCGCACCTCGAGCTCGTGCAGAAACTTTTTGCATTCTTATCAGTTGGATCTATTCGGGTTGATTCAATAAAAACCAGCATAGAAAGAGCCGGTAGCCCCTTCAAGTAATGGTTGCTTCCCAAGACGTTCTGGAAGGAGTGACGG